TGTGCCACAGAGGGAATAAAAGGAGTGTTCTGAGCTCCATTTGCCAATACCAAGGCATTTTTAAGATTCCTGTCTCATCTTTTTTTCTGTGCATGAACAAAACAGTGTCAGGGTTTTAATGCAGAATTCCCCAGAGGATTTCAGGCAAGCAGGAGAGTTTGAAGATGGGATGTTTCTCAGTCAGCTGAGGAATTCTGCAATACTCATCGTTCATTCTCAGCTCAGAAAGCAAGAAGGTGTTAATGGAATACTGAAAACAGCTCATTTCTGCTGGAGCTCTGCCATGCCAGTATTAATTATTATTATTATTACTATTCCAGGACATTTCCTGAGGTGAATTTTGTGCAGGCATTTTGTTTTTTGATGCAGGATTTCCAGGACATGAGTGGTTGCAGGGGAGGTTCCTGGTGGGCACAGTTGCTGAGAGCCATAAATCAGCCCTTTTGGAGGGGGTCTATGTTATTGGACAGGAAGGACAGATGACTCAAACACTTCTGGAGCATCCTCTGGTTACTTCTTCAATAAGATTGAGGAGTTTTTGGTGAAGAGGAGTCAGTTATCTTCCATAAAGGATTACAGAGGGTTATTTTGTCTGTAAAGGATTATAGAAGTTACAGAGGAATTTTCTTTTTTTTGTGTCATCTTGATGACAGAAAGTAGAAATAGAACAGAATGACCTCTGTGGTTGGATTGGTTTGTGAACCTGCTCCTGTGGATGCAGACACAGGAAGAGCTGATGGAGAGGGAGGAAGAGGGAATATTTCCCTGCCAGGATAGCTCATGTGCACTTGTAAATGGTATATATGATATATATGCACTGCTCTGTACACAGAACTGCTGTGTTCCAGGCTGGGGGAGCAGGACACACCTCCCAAAAAGGGGCTGCAGGGACAAACCAGGCAGAGCATGCTCCTGCAGAAAGCAGAGCTGCTGCCATTCCTGCAGAAATCCCAGCTTTGGGCAATCCCATCCTGTGTCCCCTTCTGGATCTTTCCACGGTGGCTCCTGTGCCTGGCATCAGCCCCCAGACTTCCCCAGGGCAGGTCAGCAGTTCCTAATGCAGAGTTCCTGACTCCAAGGACAAGATTAACTCGTGACTTCCCCCTCCTCCCTCTTTTAATACTATTTGTAATTTTAACTCTGTAATTCTCCTGGTAGACTTTAACTCACCTTGGGCCCTCCCAAAACGTTACAGCAACACTCACATTTGGATTTTCTTTTGCTGTTTTGTTTTTTTTTTTCCTTTGGTGTTTTTTCAGCTAAAATATTTGCACATTTGAAGCAGATTGATTTTGGTATTTTACCAAAATACTGCCCACAAATTACTTTGATCAGAAGGTCCTTGCAGGTTTTCTATGGGACAGTAGATGACCAAAATTATTACTGAGCAGAAAATGGAAGAACTGCACTGATGAAGACTGTGTCCTCTTAGGTGTGCAGGCAAAGCATTACAGAAGTTATTAGCCCCCAAAAATAATGATGTGAGCATATTTTAACATAGAAATGCTACTTAGAGTAGAGTTGCTTTCATTTTCAGCTTTTTTTGGCTCCACATTTTTCTTTCCGTTCAAAAAAATGTTATTTTTCACAGTAAAAATTACATAGTGGTCAATTCCTGTAATCATCTGCAAAGAAGTTACATTTATTTTTTCAAGAGCTTCAAACTGTGTTGCCCTCTGCGCTGTAATTTTCAGTGCATTTCTGAGTTATTAATGGAAGTTTTCCTGTTTCAGTGTACTTTCCATATTTCATTATCACCCAGAAGCAGGAGAACGATAGCTTTTAGCATAGCATACCTAGCTTAAACACAGACATTCATTTCTGTCCTTAGTTTCAACATTTAACTTCCATCTGTTCTTCTCCCTTTTTTTCTTTCATTTCCCTGTTTCCGTTTTTCCTCATGCTATGACATAAAAGTGGGTGCACTGAAAAGACTGCCCTTTTTGAGGAACAGACCGAAGGAAAAAGACAAAATGAAGGCCTTCTACCGTCGCTCCATGTGTAAGATTTATGACAGTTCAGCTTCTTCTCAATGGCTACACTGGCTTCTGTTACTAATTTTTCACTAACCTCTCCCTGGACTGCGCTCTGTTTTTCCTCCTCTTTTGCGATGTGCAAGTCCTGCTACGGTACAAGGAGCTGGAGCTTTTTACTTTTTCTTTCCCCTTCCCCTTTTTTTTTTTTAAGAAAAACAAAAAAAAAAACCTTTGGCACTGAATGCTTTATGTCTGTGCAGCTGTGCACACACACGTTGCCGTGCACATGCATATAATCCATTCAGTGCCTTGTGACTGCATATATTTGTATACATGGCTGTCTATATACACATGGCCCCATGTGTATATGAATTTACAGTGCACTTGTAAATAGTTTTAAATGACACGTTTCATAAGCCTTTTGTTAAGAAGTCACTGTAATTTTATTTATTTTTTTTTGTTTTGTTTAAAGCAAGTGTAGGAGATTGTGCAAGGCTCTCTGGTGGTCTGTCACTCTGCGAGTGTTCATCAGTTCTCGTTGCCAGAATGCTGCATTGATTTCTTTTGTTTCGTTTTGTTTTCTAATGAGGGGTGGACAGTTTTCTCGAGTGTGGGGAAGTAAAGGTGAATATCATCAGCTGTGGTATTTTTCAGATCCTCTCTCTGTTGCTCTGTAAACCCCAGTGTGCCTGCAGTAACCTGCACTGTACAAGGATCCCGTGTGAGCGCTGGCACTCCGTTCTAGGAGCACCCACCCGTTTTGTCCCCGCTCATCCCATTTTCTCACGGCAAGCGGAGCCTCTAACAGCACCTGGCGCATGGCGATCCCTGAGCGAGCTGTTCTGGGCACCTCCCTGGGCTCAGGAGCCCCAGCCCGTCCCTCTGTCCCTCTGTCCCTCCGTGCATGCGGTACCCGGGGTGTGGTTTGCTCCTGCCGGCTGCTGCGGGCGCTTTAATGCTTAGAGAACTGTGCGACCTTTGCAATGCCAATTAACAACCCCAGCAGGTTCATTGCCCGCGCTGATCATTTGCTTTCATTTGCATCCCAGCCATGAATGACCTGGTGCAGTCCATGGTCCTGGCAGGAGGACAATGGACAGGTAGTTCTGAGCATCTGGAGGGTCCTGATGATATATCCACGGGTAAAAGGAGGAAGGAATTGGGAGCTATGGCCTTCTCTACTACGGCTATCAACTTTGCCACTGTCAACTCCTCCACAGGCTTCAGATCCAAGCAGTTGCTAAATAATAAAGGTATAGGTAGAAGCTTTTTGCACTGTGATATTTGCACTATGTGAATATTAATGTTTTAAGTTTTTCATTCTTAATAACTGAGTTGCAGTGCTCAGATAATGAACTGGTTTAATAACTGCAGTTATAAAATGTTTCAAGATTTTTCCTACAGAATGTTTCCTAAGTAAAAATGGATTGCTTTGAAAAATACTTTAATTTTTACCGTTTTACCAATTATAAGTATTTTAATAATCTTTCCGCTTTATTTTATTTTACATCTTCTTTTATGTCTCTGTGTGTAGATACTACATCCTTTGAAGACGTAAGTCCACAAGGTATTAGTGATGATTCTAGTACAGGATCGAGAGTTCATGGTAAGACGTGAGCTTTGATGAAATGAATTAAGGATGTCTGATGTGAATGTTAATGAATTTGTGAAAATGCAGTGAATGGCGTCATTGCAATGAGCATGCTCTCTCTGATTTTCATATCTCTGAAATGTATCATTCCTTCAGATTCTCCTTTCTCTCTTAACTACTCCATCAGACAGATGTTCTGTATCTCTGGTAGGAAGTATTTGTGAAGTGCATCTGAACAGGACCAAAACATTTGCCCTTTTAGTGGGAAAATGTTTTAACTTCCATTCGGAGTTAATAGTAAATAAAGGAAGTTAGCATTTCAATCTTAAAAAATCCAAAGTCCAAATCTGGCCTGAGTTTTCAGTGTTTATTGTTCAGCGAACCCCAAATTTGCCATGTGCTGTAGTTTATAAACTCATTACATGTTCCTTCAAGCAAAGCTTTGAAGTGAAAAATAGCCTATTAATAGAAGTGAAGCTTTAACTGTACTATAAACATTTACAGTGAGTACAAGCAGCAGACATTTTGGAGGCTCCTAACAGTGCATTTCCCTTGTATTGGCTTAGGAGTGCAGGACTTTATCTGTGCAGATGCTCTTGCTCCTCCTGTCCGTGGCATTCCAGCCCTGTGCAGGGTTCCCTGTCAGATCTGTTGTAAGTGACCTGAGCACAGCAGCCCCTGCATGCCCCTGTCTGAGCCCTGCTCTCCCTCTGAGCTCTCCGTTTCAATTCTAAACTACACTCTCTCTCTTTTCCTCTGCTCTCTACCTCGCTATTCCTGTAGTGCCCTTTTCCAAAGTGTCCTCTTGGACCGCCTGGAAATTCCTTCGCTTTCTGATCTGTAAGAAACCACTTTGTTCCCATGGGCATGTTGAGCCTGGGAGGTCGTGCATGATCCTCTGAGCATTCTGTCAGCAGAATGTGAAGGTGCAGTGTCCTCTGCTAAAATGTTGTTCATCATGGTGTCTCCTAATTTTCCATTCAGCTTCCAGACCAGCCAGCCTTGATAGTGGCAGGACATCCACTAGCAATAGCAATAACAATGCTTCACTCCATGAAGTCAAAGGTATGCTGGGGGTGAATTCACATCCGTGCTTCATTTCCATTCTTTTCTCTGTAAGATCATCTGTAGAGGTTCAGAAACCCCCACAACCAAAAAAACTCCCACTGCACAGCACAGCATGTGCTTCCTTGAGTGTTTCACAGCCTTCCTTCCCCACATTAGAAGCACAGGTATTTTATGGTTTTAATAAGTATTAAAAAAAGGGTGATGTTAGTTTTTAAGTTACCAACTATTTTAAACTAAACCTAACCTGCATAACATCATTACAAAATAAGAATTCCCCCCCAAATTACTTTAAAAGCTTTTTAGGCTGAGAAGTTGCTCCTTTTTTTTTTTCCTCCAAGCATCCTCCTGCACTGCATTGCCACTGTGAGCTGTGTGCTGTACAACTGCACTTGTGATTCATGCTGGAAACCTTTCTGTTTTGGTTTTAATAGATTATTAACATCCCTGGATTTATCAGTATTCTCTAAATGTTCTGTGTGAAGAACCCTGATATATTTTTGTATCTCGTGGCTTTTTTAGCTGGAGGCTGTTGTACAGACTAGACTTGAGCACTGCCAGCTCAAGACTTCATTTAATGTTCATGGCTTTCATCACTTAAATGGTGTCTGCTTGTTTGGAAATTTAGGAATGAATGCTAGCTGAATATTTTTAATAGTTTATTTTAGATCTGTTACATTGCTCCCTTCTGTAAAAGATCCCTTGAGGTCCTCCTCACCCCAGTGTCTATACCGGATTAGGCATTTCCACCATAAACAGTTTATATTGGTTCAAACTTCATTTCACATCTTAGGAGTGACATGAAGCTGGAAATACTTCATTATCCATCAGTATTTTCAAGCAATTCATGGTTACTGACAAATAAAATGAGCTGGTGTTGTGGAATTTATTTTGCATCTAACACCATGTGCTTCCTTCAGGTCCCAGTTGTAACAAACTAGGAGTCACAGCAGGAATTTTTGGAGAAGCAGCATTCCTTTTTCTTTCCCCTCAGTCCTTTGTATTTCCTTTAACATTTAATTACCCTGTGCCTCTCAGTGATGCTGAACAAGAGTGGAGATGTCTCTTGGAATATAATATTATGTAGGTGGAGGCCCAGATTATAAGTGAAAGCTGTTTTTTATTTTAAAAAAATCATGCCATGTTTGAGGAGCTGCAAAAGGTAAGTTAGGGGAGTGCAGTTTTACAGAGTAAAAAATAACAACTGGACTTTTTTTTAGTCCTTTTAAATGCAATGAATGTTAACTGAATCTGGTAACATTGCAGATTGGAGTGGGGTTATACAGGGTGACAGCTCTTGGGTCTATTTCTGATGGAAATATTTGCTGCCTTCCCCCCAAAGCAGGTGCAGTGAACAGCCAGAGCAGGCCCCAGAGCCACAGCAGTGGGGAGTTCAGCCTGCTCCACGAGCACGAGGCCTGGTCCAGCAGCAGCAGCAGCCCCATCCAGTACCTGAAGGGTCACACCAGGTCCAGCCCTGTGCTCCAGCACAGGACACCTGAGAGTTGTGGCAAACACACCAAAACGGGCTCCCCTGGCAGTGAAGTGGTCACCCTGCAGCAGTTCCTGGAAGAAAGCAACAAGAGCAACTCGAGTGAGGTCAGTCTGAGACTGTTTCACCACGCACTGAAATCTGTGGGCTCAGAATGAGTGCAGGGCACAGTGAGTGGAATTCCTTGCAGGTTTCTTGGAGCTGTGTCACACCTGCAGTGAGGGGTCTCCTGATGCACTGTCCAGTTCCACCAGCAGGAAATCTGGAATTCTGCAGCCCTGTGGTCCCTGGGTTGGGTAGGAAAGTTGACCAGTAGTGACAAAGCTGTCCAGTGTGTGAGACTGCAGGCTTGGAGTGGGCTCAGCCTTCTTCCAGTCCAGCAGCAGCTGTGTCATATCTGTCCTGCATCAGCAGCAAGGAACATGTTGGATTTCATTCCCTGAGCAGACTCTTGTCTGCTTCAGTTTCATCTTCTTAACAAGACTGGAAAACAAAAAGTGACCTTGGAGTTTATTGAAATCTGAGAGGAGTAATGTGAAGGGAATATTTCTGTGAATCAGTGGCAGTTTCTGAGAAGCCCCAGATCACCTCATTTCTGCTGGTATTCCCGATTCTGCCTCCCTGCTTCTTGAGCAGATCTGCCCAAACTCCTGTAGGCTGTCCTGCTGTAGGATAAACCACTGTGACTGGGGCCTCTCAGGAGTGAGGATCCAGGCTTGTCTGGGGCAGGTGACACAGATCTGGAGAAGATTCTGCATTTTTTGGTTAGATACTTAAAATGGCTCTCACCTGTGGTCTCCTTGAGAAGGATTTTTGGCGTTTAAGCACTAGACAATATTCTTCTGGCAATACAAAATAAGAAACCCCACCTAAGTCATCAAGCCAGGCACACTGCTGTTCACAAATCCCAGAATCCCTTTTCATAGACCCATGCTGGGTGGAAGGGTATTCGAGGGGTTTCTTTCCACCCTTCTGCCAGAGCATTTCCCTAATGCCTTTAGCTTAATTCTTCCCCAGTTGTCTCTGGTACCATTTTGAAAACAACTGCAGTCTTTCTTCACTGAGTGTGAATATTATTCACCTAAACTCTTTTTTTTAATTGTACAGAGAACTCTTAAGTACGCATCGTAAATGTTTAATACTGCTTTGAGACCTGAGAAATTTTTTTAAAAACCAAAAAATTCGTAGAATTGTTGTTCATTTATGTCCACAAGAATTGCAATTTAGAAGCTTGAGTTTCCTGTTTTTCCAGATGAAATCTGCAAGTGAGGAGAACCTTTTAGACGAAGTGATGAGAAGCTTGTCTGAGTCTGCGGAGCTGGCAGGGAGGGAGAAGCTGCGGAAGCAGCCAGGGGCTGGCTGTGGGATCGTCAGATCCCTGAGTGTCAGGAACACGGTGGATTTCTCAGATGGACGATCCCTTAAACCAGAGCAGCTGGTAAGGCCCAGCCTCCGGAAGGCTGAAGATCTCTGCTTCAGCAGCTCTCAAATCAAATTTACCCCCGGCGCCCCGGGGAAGGCGCGGTCCGTGAAAGAAAAGATCCAAGCAACCGTGAGCCAGCGACAATCCAGGGACTGCAACCCCTACGCCACCTTACCTCGTGCCAGCAGCGTGATTTCCACGGCAGAAGGAACCACCCGAAGGACAAGCATCCATGATTTTTTGTCTAAGGACAGTAGGCCGCCCGTGTGCGTGGATGCAGCCCCGGCCGACAGGAGTGCTCCGCCCAGCTCCAGTGAGTACCCGGCACTGCGGGTGTCCTCTCCTTGCGTTCACTGTGTGCCTGCCGGGGGGGAGGCAGCTCCCTCGCAAACACCGCGCCATGTAGGAGCTAACTGCGAGCTTCCCAAGCCTTCCAGGATGGAAAGGCCAGGTTGTCGTGAGAGGACTGTGCCGAGCGCGCGCGTGTTCTGGGATAAAGGCAGCGGCTCTGGGAATGGCAGCGCGGGCTCCTTCGCTGCACCCCAGCCCTTCTTATCCCTCAACACCGAGTTAGTCAGCAATATCAGTGGCTTGCCCCCGAGACCCGCCTCCAAAGCAGCTGATCAGGCTAACGTGTCAGCCTTTAGGTCAGTGCTGAGGAGCCAGGAACAGCCTTGTGCTGCTCCAAAGGCTCCCGGGGACCCGCGGGCAGACCCTGTCCCTGCCTCCGGCTCCGGCGAGGCACAGTCCCCGCTGCTGGTCTCGGAAGATAACCAGACCCTGTGGTATGAGTATGGCTGTGTATGAAAGAAAGTTGTGCAATTAAACACATATGCACCCAACGTGCCATAGAGGTGTTCTCCATGTCCACTGGATGAGAGAGAAAAGTCCCCTCCAATGAAGGAATCATTCCCGGTTTATCCGCGGGGCGGTTGTTCCCTGCGGGCGGCGGCTGCGGACTGTGGCATGTTTGAATGTGGAACTGTAACCCCACCAAAGCCTGCATGAAACATTAATTGCACTGTGTATATTTTGCATGCCTTTATAATACAAGCTCTTATTTTTATTTGTCACGCATTGCAAATATTTTGGTGTTTTCCTGTCGGTTACCGCTGCATGTTAAAGCAAGAGCATGGCCAGGACGGCGCAGGGAACAGCATTCCTGGGACAAGCACTGCCAGTGGTGCTCCAGCTCTCAGGGCTATCACTGGTCATCTGCTTGGAGGGAAAAAAACCTTCTTTTTTTCCTCTTCTTTCATGGAAAGAAACATTTGGAGAAATCTCAGTGTCTTTTCACCCTTTTTCACTTATGCCGTGTCGTGGCATAAATGCACGAGGAGTAAGTGCCAATAATCCGAATAATTCAGTGCCTCTAGTTTGCACGGTAAATCTTAATTACTGTCCATACTGAGCAGTAAACACACAGACCATTCATAATCCTAAACAGAAATGATAATTCTTACAAAGAGGTGATAAATAGTCACATGATACGCAGCACTTGTCATGAAAAAATGACCTTTTCCACCTTTTCCCTTTGGTCTGCTTTGTCTTTCCAGTCGTGGGTACAACTGTGGTGAAGTGTTTGCTTTTATCAGGGGTCCAACAACAGCTCCTTGTGAGGTACAGGAATAAAAAAAAACTGCCTCGAGTATGGTGGAAATTCATTTTTTCTTGCCAATGGGAAGTACCACTGATATAGTAGAAAGCAAATGGTGTAACAAAATAACAAAATGTTAAGTTAACATATTTAAATAAAAGAAGAGATAACAAAGTTGCTTGCAAGGTTATGGGAGGATATGAATCCTTCAGCAAATAACTCCTTAAATTCCAGATGAGCAGCTAAAGAGAAATGTTGAAGAGTAATTACTTAATGTGCCACTGTTTCTCCACCTGCTTGAAACTTCTTAATAGTAATTTTAAACAGAGTTTAAAGTTGTATCAGATTTAAGCTGTAATTACACAAGGCTTTGGACATGAGCACTTCTTTACAAGAGGACATTGGTTATGCCAGCTGTGGGAACTAAAATACATTACCAAAAATTGAGTGACAGTATAGCTAGAGGGAAAATAATTAAAATTGAAAATATATATTGAAAACAACACATGTCACATTCCATTTTGTACAATTGCATTTATTCTGCCAGCAGTTTAGTGGCAGTCACAGAACCACTGTGTGGGCTGAACTTTTAATTCCTTAGTGCTTATTTAAGGAGGGGCAGTGAATCCATGGCAGAGCAGCTGATATGCCATGTGAGAGTCTGGAAGGGCTTTGTTCTGTATGGGATGGGAAGCCCTCATTTTGGAGGATATTGAATGTTTGTGGAGAATAAAATGACTGTTTGAGGATGTGACACTGTCCTTCCCCAGGTCTGCACACTGGGCTGATAAATCTCTCACTTCTCCCAGTGCTGGGTCAGTTATTGCTGTCCCCTCTGGAACTATCTCAGCAGCAAAAGAATGAGAAATCTGGGGTATATAACCTTCATTTCACACACATTCCCTCTCACAGAGCAACACCAGTGTTCTGGGCTTGGGTCGTGCCATTTGACTCCAATTCCTCTGCAGTTGTGTTGGGATTAGGTGGGAGGTGAGAGTGCCAGTATCCCAAGCAAAGTGTGCACAAGGCATTCTGCAATTAATTATTGAAGGAATTACAATCCCAGCTCTGAGAGCACTTCATACAAACTCGTCCTGTGCTGCCAGGGCCTGGCTTTTGCTCCCTGTGCCTGCAGAGACCCTGGTCAGAACAAGGTGGAGCTGCTCTAGATCAGCTCTGGCTGCAGAAGTCTCGGGTGTGCTGTTGCATTTTCCTCTTGCTTAGGTCCTCACACAGTCACACCTACAAAAACTTCCAGTATTGTCCCTCTCAAACCCCAATAGAATAGCCAAGCACGAGTGTCCTGGAGCACTAGTGCCTCCAGTCTGCTGGAGCTGGAGACTAACCTTGTCCAGCTCCCTCTGCACTGCTTTATACATTTGCAATGAATTGAATGACTTGAGAATGACTTGTTTTGCTCCACTGAGTTGGGCAGCAGCAGAAGTGTTCTGCAAGGGAATGTTTAGTGACTCTGAACAATGACTTACCAGTATTTGTTTGTTACATAGGAAAGAAAGAAAACGTTGTCATGGACAGAAGGATCTTTTTTTATTTTCTCAACTTTTTGGTCTTTAACAAGAAGTTTGTGGATGTCTGTGTTCAAATAGTGGGAGGTTCCGTGGAATTCTTTCATTTTCCCTGCTGCTCCTCAGCCATGTGCATGGCAGGCTGTGAAACACATGGAGCCCTTGCTCATTCCTTGGATCCTGCTGCCTTGGACAGTGCTGAGTTAGGGCTTTGCATGACCCTGACAAACACTAAATGTGTGGCTGCTGCCCAGAAAGGTTTTTTTTGTTCAGGCTCAGCCATTTGCTCACAGTTGAGGTTTGCCTGGCTCAGGGTTTGCTTGATGCTTTGCTTTCAGTGACTGGTGATTTCAGATGCTGCATTTTGCATGTTCAAGCTGTTGCATGCAAAGAGAGTTTTGTGGTTTGTGGAACTGAATGTGGACGTTTCTGTCAGTGTGCAGCAAGTCAAAGTCCAGTGAAAGAAGTTCTCTGCTAGGGTCAGTCAGCTGTGATGGCCCTTTTGCTTTCCATTCGTGCAGAAATGTAGGGTTGGTGCAGCTGAAGGTGACACATACCTGACTGTGGCTTTAGGAATGACAGCTGGCTGTTGTAAATGCTGAGATGAATGTCAGTGAGTGTAGCTGAGCAGGCGCTTCCTGTGAGTTTCTTCTGTCCCTCTCCTCTGTCCTTTCCTCTTAAAAACAGTCAGAAAGTGTTTATGTATCCTTTTGCTCTCCTAGTGAGTAGAATGTGTTTTGATGCATGAGGGTTTTTTTTTTTCTTTCATGTCCTGATAAACACAATGAATAACCTGAAATGCTTTTCTCTGCAGATGTGGAAGCTATCCCAGAAAGCAGAAATTCAAAAAGCAGGTCTAGGGAGCAACAAAGCTCCTAATTCTATTACCCACTACCTGAGCTGTGGGCCAAGTGGTGAGTTTCCTGCCCAACCTGTAAATGAGATGAATTTCATTTACAACAAACTAACAGCATTCCATCTCAGCCCCAGAGCACATTGCATTAACCAGATGTAAATCCTGCTTGCTTACCTGGCTTCTCCCGCGCTCACTCCTTAGGCCAGGAGGGTCTCCAGAGCTCTCCAGAGCTTCTTCCAGGGGCAGGGAACCTCATCCTGCTCAGCCTTTTGCCTGTAAAAATGACTTTTTTTTTTTTTATTTTTCCAATCTCCTGAAGAAGAAAGTTCAAATAAACCCCATTAAGAAATAGTACTGGAGTCAGTTTTTAGACAGGGAGAGGTAAATCTGAAAGAATAGCTGAACAAAAGTCAGAGTATTCAGTACCCCATGGAATCTGCCTTTTTATAAAGCTTGTTTTTGGTGTTCTGTCCTCTTCTCAACTTCCCTGAGCCCCTTTGGTGCATGCTGTTAGTGCTGTTAGTGACTGAACTCTGTGTGTTGTGCCTCTGCACCTGAAGCTTTTTCTTACATTCTTTTCTCTTTCTGCCTTTCAACTGAACACAGAGAGAAAAGTGTCCTTCAGTATCTCAGTGTGAAGCCTTTATATCTGAAGTAACAAGACAGCGACTGTAGGAATCATTAATAAAAATTAAGGGATTTTTTTTACATTCTTCGTGACTAGAGCAGGCAAGAAATAAAAACCTACCTACCTACCTACCTACCTTCCTTCCTTGAATCAAGGAGCTCTACTGGAGTCTACTGCCGAAAATGTGTAGATGGTCTTAGGAATTATTGCACATTGCACTGTTAAGATCTACTGAATAAAGGACAGTTCTCATCTCCCTAAGGACCAAGGATTTTAAGGTCTCAAGAATTACTCCAGGGGAAAAAAAAAAAAAACAAAAAACAAAGCAAAACTTCTTTCATCTTCTGTTTTTGAAATTAGCCACTGATTTGCTTAAGCTTCTGCTAATAATTAGCCAAACCCCCCCCAAACTAGCAGTTTCTATTTACTTCTGTAAATCTAAAGGAAATGCTGTAGAGTTTTGTTGAAATGGACTGTACATACAGATACAAAAACCTCACAGCTACTGGCACTTCACTGCCTTATTTGGTTAGCATAATCTGCATGAAATTGCTCTTAAGAAAGTTTATGCTGATTTTTGTTGCATACTGCAAGAGAAAAATTTGTTTACATCCATGGAAAAGCTCGGTAACTAACAGAAGTGGGAGTCATGGGATAATGGTATTATAGAGACATTGTTTGTCCTTTGTGTTTTTCACATTCCCCAGTTACTCTGCATATGTATGTTCAGATGTTTCTGACAGGAAACTGTCTGTTTTTTCTACAACTTTTATTTTAATATAAGGCTGTTTTCCACGAATGCCATTTCCAGGATAAGACTGTCTTACGATGTTTGTGTATTGACTAATTTTTTCTTTTTTTTTTTTTACTGTTTGTCTTTTGACATGAGCTGATTGTGGCTTAGGAGGTTTCTTGATGGCAAAAAGAAATGTAAATAATATCATATGCATTTTATAATCAGTTCCCTCTAAGGTTATCTTTTACTAGATACATTTTTTTCATTATTGGTTTATATTAAAGTCAGCAAATGTTACTGGTACATTTGGTGGTTGCATATATTTGTCTGGAAAGATTTGCAGCGAGCTCAGAGGGAGTGGACAGGAACTGAGCCCCAAAATGAGAGGTTCTATTTTATTAAAGCAAATAAGCACATTCCTGTTCCTCATATGAAGGGTTGAGTTCCCTGTGTCACCTCCCAGTGTCCAACAGGTGCTTAGTGTCACCTGCAGCTTCCTCAGGTGAGCCCCACTGCTGAAAGCAGTTCAACAGATTCAAAAGCTTGAAATCTTCTCAAAAAGGGGAAAAAAGAGGCATGCACAATAAGCTTTAGAAGAGGAAATTTTCTGTTTGCTTTCTTAAAATGAGTTTCTTCTGAAATTTTTTTGGTGATAAGTGGGCTGAAGGATGTGTACTGAGGGCACAGTGGGTATGACAGGCAGTTCAGATGCCATAAAGGTTAGGGAGGTGTCTCCTGTCA